AGGCGTCATCTCAATCCGACCATATCACCCCTCACGGGCAGTATGAGATGGGTTACTCTGACTTGATTTGAGCTTCAGGACAACATCTGATGCATAGAACATGAGCCTTTCTTGGTTTCCCATACCCATCGAGGCTTAGCAACATTATTCTCCTTCCTATCACTTACTGATCTCCAAATGTTACCTGGAGTGATATTTGTCTTGAATGTATGCTGGCTAATCTGCTCTGGAACTATGTACGGATATGCCACATTCAACCCAAAAAGTTCCGAGATGTCGTGTATGACAAATAGCAACAGACCTGCTGCAATACCCTCCAGCCAAACCAATACCAGAGTTGTCACTTTTGCACGTACGTTGGTCAGAAGATGTTGTGATCGACCGTAACTTGCGATATGTTCCTGTTCCTGTATTTTGCCCAGCAGAGATAAGAATTACGCCCATTATTGGCTGATGGTGTTACCGCTCAAACTCCGGTGAGTAACTTATCACTCGGTCTCCTACTACGTAACCCGTGTTCGCGCACCACAGCATCGGTAGGCCTGCTCGCTTTTCCATTTCAGATGAGTTTCCGAACCTCGCGTACTCTCTGCTGTGCAAAGTGTTTTATTCTTCCTTATGCCGTTCTACATGTGATAGCTCACTTCGAGTCATGAATTTTCGCAATCTGCAGGATGGCATGCCACTCTTCAGAACACCTGCGCCGATCAGTTGAAGAGGGCATCAGTGGCCTGTCGGCGGTACGTACTTATCCCCACGCAGAGTAAACATGATAATGCGTACGGAATAGCAGCATACAACTAAACTCCTCCAACTAATTTTTTCAATAAACAGATGTCGCAGGCTTCGTATCAAATGCTCCCACAAAAAGGCGCAGCCGCCATGCCGGAGCTGTTTAGATGCAGGGACTGCGGAATCGAATGAATGGTTAGTTGAGCGGCCCTGTAGTATTGGGACTGCTCGTGGTGTTCACTTACTCTTACATACTCGATCCAGCTCATTCCCTGTTCGTGGAGCCACCGACTACGATAGACAGGTTCGGTCCATGGCCCCGTTCAGCACCCAGCGTCACGGATCGTGAGTGAGGGCCTCATTGACAGATAGCTTAGGACCGATGACGACGACCCGTCAATGCATCTGGTATCGGGTGAGAACCCACCTAGACTACTGTAATCTCATCAGTGTAGAGCGAGCAGAACAATCCGAGGCGGTCCAGAAACTCAGAACTTACGCAAAGGTTTGCAGGCTGCCGATCGACACCGCGACTTCTGGACAAATGTCTCCAAACGGATTGTTCGTTACTGCTGATGCTAATCGGGACCTGTGTCTATCGTCAGAAGCAGGCACAGAAAACCGCCTAGTTATTAATGAGCTACAGACATCGGCGGTGGCGCTGGACATTATCCCTCCTCTTCAAGAAGTGCTTGACGGGTGTAGGACTTTCATTTTATCTTATTACCAACTGGGTGCGATAGAACCAAGTCTCTCAATTGTAAGGGGGCTTGAAGTTGACTCGCTCGCATTAGGGTTCTTTTCAAAAGCGGTCTTCCTCGAGAAGATGTCCCAGCAACCCAAACAGTCGGACCTTTTTCTTATCAACAGTCTCCTCAGCGTCACCGCTCGGTTCACCCCTTCGCTACGAAATAGGTACGAAGGTGGTCGCAAGGCAACTGAAATCTTCACGGAGAGAGCTACAGCCTGGAGCCTAAAAGCCCTTCACCAACCAACCGTTGAGCACACCCAGGCTTTTTTTCTGCTGGGATTGGCCGAGTGGGGGAGTAACGACAGGAACCTCAGTTGTGTCAGTAGCTATCTTTTTAATACTTGTTGAGTTCCTGGTGGAGCTGACATTATCGACCAGATGCGCATGGGAATAGCCGTCCGAAGTGAGTGTTAACTATTTTCTGCTCTTTCTTTATCAAGGGCCACTGGCGTCGGCGTTGAAGACTTTTCAAGGTGAGAAACTAATTTTATGTTTCTGATAGTGGCGAGCATTCTCGGTCTCCATAAAGAACAGACCTACAGCCTCTCCTCCACTGCTGCCGCCACTGAAATTTTAGATTCAGAAGTGGCCCGACGGACGTTCTGGGTGCCATCTAGCTCCATAAAAACATACGCTTCACACAGGTGTGCCTCTCAAGGGCGAACTCTGTCATACCCAGGTGGGAGCTCATATGGAACATGAAGCCTGCGTAGAGAATAATTGTTAAGTGGTTCTTCACAGATCGGACGAGAGTATCAAAGCGAATGTCACGAGACAAAAACTTGAGCTTCTGGAGGACTCATCGGCAAACGAGGGCAGGACTTGATACTTACTCAGAGCACCGTCTCCTAGCATGGCTGGTTCCAGGTCTATGAAAGCATTCTTCTTCCAAGCCTCATACGTTTCTGTCACAAAGCTAGGAGTCAACACCTCTGTACCGGCACGAACTTACGAGGGATCAAGGAAAATAAGAGAAACTCACCTCCGTGGGGAACATAGGCGTTATCACAAGTCAAGCCTCCGGGTTCAAGAGTCTTAGCACTTCCCCCATACACACCGTAAATCATGCCCATGACTTCGGCAGTCATGGTGCGATGGTAATACTGCATCGCCAATCCGTATGTTAGCAATCCATATTTGTTTGCTTGTGAAGACTCCCAAGCATGCAAGGTGTCACCCGGATAGTTCTTACCGGTGGTCTCCAGCTGTTGAGCGAGTTCACCCATTTCGGTGTAAAAGCACAGAAATCTGTGATGGACACCCCCGGGATCTTGGACTTGGCGGTCAAGATGGTATACGCACTGGGGTCGAGCTGATCCTTTGAAGACGTCAAGGCCAGAAGGTTTCCGATCTTGTACTTGTAAGGGACATAGCTGCGACTTATTGGTTTCAGGTTGATACAACAAAGACGTGCCTGGTGAGGGCAATAGGACGTTACCAAGAACATACTTTCCATGCCAGCCGACCACGTCAAACGGCGTATGTGGCTGCTCGTAGCTGTATAACTTGCCCACGACCTTGACAATAACTTTGTGCTTGTCAGTTTGTCAGATTTCTTACTCGGCCCCATTCTTGCACACACCTTCCCATGTCATGGTCTCTAGATCATAACTGGCAACAGGAGCTTCAAAGTCTTGAGGCAGGGCTAGGCCGTTGGATCCGATAGGCCCTAGATCAGGAAGTTCAAAATGACTCCCAAATATTTCTTGAATATCTGCACCTGATCAGCTACCAATTTCCATATAGTAAACAGTTCCAATGCTAATTACACCCTCTAGAAGGTCCGTCTGGCAGAGCTACTTTGAACCGCAGGCCGGCAGGAATAACGACAAGTTCTCCAGGTATGACCATCAGCCTGTAAGAGGAGATCAAGTCAGGAAAATACTATTATTGTACTCAAAGCAAAGCCACAGAGCACTTCTCTCACCTTCCCAGCTCGGCCTGGATGTCTAAGCGCCCTTGTTGTGGGACTACCAAATAGTCGCCATCATGATTCACAAAAGCCTCCTCGTCCATAGACACATTGGCCGCATACTGGTGAACAGCGACACCCTCTTTTTGGGTAGGATCACCATGACCGACAATGGTCTTCATTCCTTGCCAAAAGTTCGTTGGCTCCATTTCTGAGGGTGTCGCGAGCGGGCCCCATTCTTTGCTGCAAAGAACAAACGAGTTTTTGGGATTCTTGGATGAGAAGACCGCAGAAATCTTGATTTACCCGTCAGAATAATGTCTCTTACACGCGTTCTGGTCGGCGTATTCGGTCTCTGATCACGCAGCCTGTAACCTACATCATGATTGTATTCTAAAGGGTTGATAGGCTTATGAGCGCATGACGGTCGAATTCGATGCATCCACCTACACCCAAACATGGCCATGTCAGCGAAGGAGTCTTGTGCATGCGACCAGGGAGGTGCGACACAACTTACACATTAAGCATGCTTTCCCGGGATGTGACAAAGCTGGTCCCGTTGAGCTGAACGCGTCAGATCTGCCAATAGTAGAAACCTTACCGCTTACCTGTTCAATATACAAGTCATATTTAGCACGCTGAGGGAGGTTTCGGCCGTCATAAGGTATAGTGTCTGGTCTGCCAACACGATCGTGCTTGTCAGTATGATCTGACCCAAGACCCATTACAGATCCGAAGACAGTCCTTACACGGCTTCAGACACAAATCCGTTTCCAAATCCAACTTGGTAGCGGTATGGATCTTCCTGGGCGGGAGCTCGAGTGTATCCTGTCGTTGCTGAAAACGACTCCGCAAGAAGCTGTGACGAGGCTGTCAAAGCTGCGGGCGACATGGTTCTGGCGGCGTAGCACAGGAAGGGGGATGAAACGAGATGAAAGAGCCAAATTGGTCTGAGCTGAAAATGAACCAGTAAGTAGGAAAGTCAATAGTGATTTCACGTACAGAGCGTCATGTAAAACATATCGCATGCTGAACCCAGGCATCATGACTGGGGTACTCAATTCTCTGTACCAGGCTCTCAATTGTGGAAGCGGGCTAAGTATCGTCCAATCATGTCAACGGGCAAACGGGACGACTAATCGAGAAGATTGTGAATGTTATCCGTCCTGCCTGCCCGCCGGCAAAATAGCTCTGCCGGTCGATGCAGCTTTATCGTCGAATCGATACTCGAGGACTGAGGGTAGACAGTGCCTCAAGGGTGACTGATAATGTATGACTGATGACATACCTAGTGTGGATGTTGCATATGCAGCACCGATACCATTATCGAGGGCTGTACGAAGGACCGATACGAAGTACTCTGATTTATCTTTACTGTCAAGGAGCTTTGCATGAAGCTACTACTTTCTGGTGGCTCATGGGTGTATACATCATACTTTCGTACATCGCACCTGCTGACCAAGTCCAGAGAAGGAGACAATAATAGCTGGCCATTCTGTGGTTCAGATCCTATCACATAGGGGCACTGTCAATAACACATAGTTATTGTTGTTTTTGGCATGGACTGATCGATAACTTGTTTGTGCATTGAACTTGAAATTTACGATGGTGGCCGTGCGTGAAGCAGCAAAACTCAAGGTTGGGCTTCTCATTTGTTATGTATCATGTGCATCTTCTTTGTCGATGTCAGCCTGACCAGCATAGATTATCGTCGTCGGCGCCGGCATAGGGGGTCTCGGGGCCGCAATTTCCTTGTTACTCGCAGGGCACCATGTACAGGTCCTCGAAGGTGCGAAAGAGCTCGGGGAGGTTGGCGCCGGCATTCAGATCCTCCCGAACGGTGCGCGAGTGCTTCGATCTTGGGGCATGGAAGATACCTTACAGATGAACGCGATGGAGCCTCGCATGTCGAACATGAGGAACTGGAAGGGAGACCTCCTCACATCTTGGGACTATCTTGTTGCAGCGAAAACCTATAGCGCCCCATTCTGGGACTTCCACCGCGCGGATCTTCATCGCGCCCTGGTGGACCGTGCTCTCGAATTGGGCGGTGATATTGTCTGCAACATGACCGTAGCTGACGTCTTGTGCGATACACCCTCAGGCCATGCAACGGTCGTGACCAGAGGAGGTAAAACTCACACGGCGGACCTGGTCGTAGGAGCAGACGGTGTGCACAACACCTTGAGGGCTGTTTTGAGCGGGCGCGACGAACCGCCCACGCCTACGGGAGACCTTACCTACCGCTTACTCCTGGATGCCTCAGTCATGCTATCGGATCCCGAGTTGGCAGAATTTGTCGACGATCCCCAAGTCAACTCTTGGATAGGGCCGGATGCCCATATTGGTGAGAACCTCATTATTCAATCCCAATCCAAACCCTCATACGTGCGCACACATCCTCAGCGGAGTCATGCCAATATCACCGACTCGTATCGCTCTCTAGTTAATTATATTCTCCGACAAGGAAGTCTCTTTAACATGGTTCTATGTATGCCGGATGACATTCCAGACAAGGTGCGCGTGGCACATGGAAATATTGAGGAGCTTAAGCACTTTTACAAGGACTGGGATCCTCGGTTGGTAGTCTCCTCTCTATAGTCATAAATCGCTCGAATCTGACCTCTGCTAGTATTGTCAAACTCATCAACATCTCCAAGGCTGCCAACAAGTGGAAGCTATGCATCCGGGAAGAGCTTGATCACTGGTACCACCCTTCTGGGACCTTAGTGCTGCTTGGGGATGCCGTACACGCTACTCTCCCGTACCTATCTTCGGGAGCTGGCATGACGCTGGAAGACGCTGGCGCCCTTGGCGAGTGTCTATCCAGGATCAAGTCCAAATCCGGTGCCGAGATACAACACGCCCTCGCCGTATTCCAGGAGTGTCGCAAACGGCGCACTGAGCGCACCGTCAAACGCAGTTCGCTACAACAACACCTGCCCCACCTGCCTGACGGCCCAGAGCAGGAGCAGCGTGATGTCTTGTTGAGAATACCTGGGCCTGTCCGTGGAGAAGCATTTGTCTGGAGGGATCCGGACATCGAGCCTTGGCTACTAGGCAATGATCACGTTAAAGATGTAAGTACTCCTAGGCGAACTCTCTCAAGGCTTGCCTAGACTTTTGCTCACGTAAGTTTCGTACTCGGTATCTAGGTGTTGGACAACTGGGGCTCAGCTTCTCAAGCTAGAATATAACTTGCCGCATTGGGCACTCTACCAGCCATGTCTCATGACGCTTCAGGGCCACTCAAAGGTCAAATGAGTGTGGTAAGAGAGATAGAACGAGAGCCAGATAGTGTGAAAGGTTTGGAACCACTGGTAATTTCTGATGTCGGAGCCCTGGTTCTTCGATAACATCTAGTCACAATCTACGAGAACGCTTCAACGATAATCCTCTGCACTTGTCTCTACCCCTTCAATTCCTTTTTAACATGTAACACATTACTTCGATATTCATCAGTCTCGTAGTGGGCAAATTTACGTCTGTGCCTGAGTGATCGCGGCAGGTGTTCCCTTTTCGGGCAGACCCAGCCACATACCTCAACATGTTACCCTCGAGTTCTTCGGCCCCCTTGAGCACAGACTCTTGGTCTAGCACCCGTATGTTCTAGAACATTTGGTCTGCTTTCGGCTTTAGCGCAACTTTGGTTAAATGACATGGATGTTTGCCTAAAGTGATTCCGTTAGAGACGAGCCGTGATAGTGAATATCTGTGTTAATGAAAGGCCGAATGACTAATCGAATTCGTAACATTTCATTACTTGTAATATCTAAACTTAGTGGAAGCCGACATATCGTAGATCAGTGCGTTCACCTCGTTGGTCGACTGGCCCGTGCGTACAGATTATGCTTTCAATATAATCCACACCGTCTGATGTAGCAATGATCTAGATCTAGCGCACGACCCTCCGGGGCTCTTCCTCGAGGAAAATCGTGTTAAACGTTAACTCCAGAATATCATCCATCATCAACGTGAAGCGTGACGTTATAAAGGTATATAGCTTTGCCCGGCTTCCGGCCTTAATTGACATGCTATTTCTATCTCTAAGTCAACACCGACAAAGCATAAATCCGAGCCTTCAGACCTACCCACATACATCCCCATCGTATTACAGTGTCGGTTCGTATTTGAGTTCGCAGTACAGCACAAAGAGAACAGTGTCATAAGATCCGCGCTATATCAACGAAAAATGCGTCTACAAATCCTCATATCTTCATTGCTCCTACTTATGGGCGTGGACCAAGCGCTCGCTGGGGTTGCGAGGGCACGAGACGAGGGTGACATTGCCCCAGCACCAGACTGCAAGGCTCTCTGCACTTCGTACTGGAACTGTGTACGTATCGACATGTGGAACGGGGTTGTGTGCAAACCGCCAATTGAACAATGTGGAAATTGTTAATGCTTGGGTCAACTTCCAGCCGGAATCTAGGTGCGTTATCCATTTCTTTTCCTCGGTATAGACAAGCTAACGAGTGATAAAGCCGCGAATTGAAGCCACAAGAAAACAAGAACTAAGTAATGGCGGCACCCACTGCTTATCGGGAGATTTTGCTAGGATAGTTCTGATAACATTGACGAAGCACCCATGTTGATTCGGCATAAATATATTGTATTCCGAGAAAGTAGCCGCTTGGAGAGAGCCCAGTTAAACATTTTGCCACGTACATACAGAAACGAATGCAAATATTACTTTGCCCTCGAAAACCATAGCTCTAAAAAGTAGTTCTACTAATGCATTTTCATTACGCAAGCTTCAAAGATCAAGTCATGAACGGACCTGAGAAGTCATCGAAACATTTCACGATGTCTCCGCCAAATTCGGTATCAATTTCGAATGAGAATCAGTCCAGGGGATGACTAGACATCGCCCTGACCATATTGGTTGAACCTGCTCAGCTGCCTCGCCCTGTGAAGTCGCGGCATAATCTAGCTGTGACCCGGGTCAAGTACTCCTGCTCTGAGATTTCGGGTCGTGATGGCGCGAGAAAAAGCTTAAGCCATCATCACCCTGATTGAGATCAAGTCCAGTGTTTGTATGTACTGTACAGTATTTGACATTTATAACGACTGTAACTCTCCAGAATAATCTCTCGGCCACATTATTCGGGATGTAGAGAGGCAATTCAGAAGGGCATTGAAACCAGCGGAGAAGCTTGATACATACAGAATATCAGAGCAGAAGAGTAAGGTTGTACAGTCGTGTTCCATGCCCATCCGAGCAGTTGCAAAACTTTCGATCTTGACATACCTATACGAAACACCGTTTTAGGTAGTAGACGGGAATGATCATATTGGCCCTCACTGCAGACCTTTCTTCTCTCTTGGTCCGATACTGCTCGCCTATAGTTTCAATTGGTTTCAGCCTGGCTCACGGATCAATTTCTCGGCTAGATCAATTGATATAGGCGTGTCTTGGCTTCGATCGCTATCAGGCCTCTAAGAAGGCAAGCACGCTGTCATATTTGTTAGTAGATATCTTGGATATGCCGAGGTTGAGGAATTTTTGCCCAGTCCTCAGTCTCGTTCCACCTACAAACCATGCATACTCTCAGTCCATAAGTTTGCGCTGAATGCATTCTCACTTCCTACAGAACGTCCGAGGTTTCAATAAAATTGGTATCCAGAATTTCTTCGCTATCCCGTATGCAGCTGCACCCTGTGTTTGTGGCACCAATTCCACCGCCGACCTGAACTATTGTATCTCTCTTAACGTGGTAAGTTTTGGAAGTGTATGTACTGAAGACACGTCGTGTTTTCCCGGGTGTTAGGTAGAGAGTAGTATCTGCGCAGATTGTTTCGAAATCCTTGCCTTTGTGCTTAACCACAAAAAGAAGATGGTCCCTAGGCAGACCCAGCTGTGTTCCTGATTCTTTCATATAGTTAGAGTTGAATTTACGAGTAGACAATGCTAATACCTTGTTCCGATGTATGAATAAATTTAGCTTCCCAAGCAAGAGCAAATTGAATCAGGAGTGGAAGGAATAGCGAGAACACTAGACTCTGACAGGGAAGGTGCGCCTGGTTCTGAGCACGTGCTCGCTACGCTTGACCTGCCTTAAACGGGAGCCCTCATCTTCGGTTAGAACTGCAAGATCGTGTGTATCTCCGGTGCCACCACTCTTTCTCTTTGTAGGTTCTCAAGTCTCCCTCAGCAAGCATCCTTATGTGTATGCAATAAGGTCACTCAGGTCCTTGCTCACGTCAGATGTCACAGGGAAGGCCGTCTCCGCTACCCCCTGGGGTTGGTCTCAAACGACGCAGAGACGATCAACGCATCAATGAACCGCGTAAACGAACAACTGTAGCGTAGGTTATCCTTAAATGTTGTCTAAAATATCACTAATCGTGGGTTGAATATCAGCTGCGATGTCTGCCGACAGCAAAAGGAAAAGTGCGAAGGAGGACCGCCCTGCAGAAGGTGTACTCGCCTCCGAAAAGAATGTCGATTTCACGGAGTGCCTATGGAGACTCCAACTTCGCGCACATCCTCAAACACCCGGGAAACCACATCTCAGGTTGATACTGATTGTGACCAAAGCTCGCGTGTACAAGACCTAGAGCGTATCGCCCGGCACTTCCTCGGCCACTCTGGCACTGCTCCTCTGGACGATTCTGACATCCGGCACGCCGTCGAGGAGATTACCAACCTATCCCGCGATCGTGGAAATGACAGTGAGCAGGGAATTCAAAATTCTGGGCCTAGTGCTGAAGAGGAATCTTTTGACACTCGCTTCGTGTCCAAGGTTACAGCTCGTAAGTCTGACTATGTTTGCTCTGCTAGTTTCGCATACCGGATTATGTTGACGTTCGCTAGACTACTCAGGTGAATTCTCCCACTGGAATTTTTCGCAAAAGCTTTGGCGGCGGGTCAGTCAACAGTTAGAAAAATTAGGTTCCAACAACTTGAGCCAGCGAATTCAGGTCAAGGACTACTGGCGGCCGACCCAGTTACAGTCCCCGGTGAATGTTATCTCCCAGGCGATGGACCATTTACCACCATACCATATTGCCCAGTTTTTGGTGAAGCTGTTCTTCAAGTACGTTCAACTGAACTGCTTCTTCATTGAGGAAGAGTGGATTTTGGCAAAGGTGCAGCACTCTTACTCGGAAGCCCCTGAATTCTCAGCCAGCGATGTTTCCTGGGTCTGCAGTCTCTTCGCCGTTCTAGCCATCGGCACCCAGGTGGCGCACATGGAGTCTGGGTCCTCCTTGATTACAGAGTCCGAAGAAGATCTTACGATGTGCTCCGAGGACGATGTAGGCAAAATCTTCTTCCACACTGCTCATAGCCTCGTCCCGGATGTCATGGCTCTCGCGTCTCAAGAAAGCGTCCAGGCTTGCCTACTACTCGCCAAGTACGCCATGCCACTGTCAACTGGGGGCCTGTCCTATAGTTACCTAGGACTTGCCATGAATATGATCATCTTGAACGGGATGCACCGGAAATACACAGGCAGTGGGTGTGATGCCAAGACCATCGAGACAAGAAACAGACTCTTCTGGACCGCTTACACTCTACAACTGTGAGTACCCTGCTTCGATGATGACCTGATATTAATGAACGTGGTCTAGTTATATCAGTGTAATGCACGGCCGTCCGGTGTCTATTGCACAATCTGATATTAGTGTCGAACGTCCAGTTGACTTTCCTGGGCTTCGTTCACCTAATTTTGCTAATTTAATTGCCTTTATCGAGTTTAATGATTACCTAGCCGAATCATCTGAGGCTTTGTAAGTGTGACTTTCTCAAAATAGTCTCGCTGAACTAATTTGCTTTTTTCTTTTTTTTTAGAAAACAATTCAGGAAATGCCCGAGATCTCTCTTTCCGGAGTACGCCGCGAGGCTGCTCCAGGTTCGTGATCGGATCAAGTGCTGGTGGGAGAGCCAGGCACGCAGTAATATTGAATTCCAATATTCAGACCACAACGCACCGTCGTTCCGGGCATTCGCCCGTCTCAAGCTTTGTTACCTGCTTCTCTACATCTACATTGGGCGGCCTTTCCTTTTCTTGGACGAATCTCATCTACAACCTCCTACAGTTGACGCAAACTCGACACGCCAGCAGCGTTCGGCGAGCGTCACGGGCATATCAAGCCTAGCGGATGGCTGTGTCCATGGCGCCACACAGATCATTGATCTCCTGCAGTCTCTTTCCGAGAGTGTCGGCCTGTCTCGAGCTTCCTACACCGAGTTCAGCTCATGTCGAGCATCTCTACTGGTACTCCTGACGGAATGGCTTCGCTCGGGAGAACGCAAAAAGGTGGCAGCCGCCCTCGACCGTGGCATGAATCTTATCCACCAAATGACGGGTGGGAACTCGAACAAGTCTGAGGTGTCCTTGATCGAGTATCTTGAACGTGCAATCAAATACATCTCGGCGGCACATCCAGATCAAGACCTACCCAGCAACCGTCCTTCAGCAGTCCGAGAACTAGAGAGCGCGTATTCAAGCTTCAAAAACTGGGCACAGTTGAAAAGGTCTGAAAGTGCGGCAGGGAACGACCCACACACCTCTTCGCTTGGTCCCCGGCTGATGAGTCCTTCAAATTCACAAAGTGATTTGATTGATGCTGCCGATTTATTCAACACGGCTTGGTCTTTTAGCGATGACGATGGCAGTCTGGATCCCTTCCTTTTCCCCCTTGTTCCTGGCCAAGGCTAACTTTAAGCTCAATTTGCTCATCACAAACGTCTTGCCCAACATCTCTGTCCCATGTACCACAGAGCTAGTCTTTAGTCTAACCAAAAATCAAATACTTAACGCGCTTATGCCACGATGCGTGCGGAACTTCCACTTCGGCCTTATTCCGCAATTCTTCCTCATTCAGTCGGTCCTGCTCGTCGAACGCTAATCCCTCGACAAAGGACATTTCTTCTGGCTTGACTATTTTTGTTTTGAACCAAAACTGGAGATATGTTAGTCAAGAATGCCAACCTTTGCGGTATTGAAAGCTTACCTTGTACAAAAAGTAGTCGAAAAAGAACAGTGGCGCGGCTAGATAGGAGGAGAAGAAGGTTTTGGCGGAGCCCTTCTCTCCAAATGGCCAACAAGAGAGGTAAAATTCACAGCCGAAAACGAAGAGGACCACAACCAAGGCGACATATTGGGCGTACGGAGTTCCAAAACCTTTGAAGGGCAATTTCTTGAGGTCGTAGCCTTGAGCGCGAAGCCCCGTGCGGAAGCGAAGATGAGCAATGTAAATGCATCCCAGCTGGAACAGAGTTGCAATAGCTGTCTGAGGGATCCTGTCAGTACATAGACGCAGAACGGGTGTTCAGAGAACTTACCAGGGCTGAGAACCAGCTGTATACCTGAACACCAACACTAGCGCAGTTAAGATAGGTCAATCCGCCACCAAGACCGATACTAATGATCAAAGCAACCCATGGACGCCCCTGAGAATCCTTGCGGCCAAAGAAGCTATGGAGGAGGCCTTCATCGGCCAAAGCTGCAAGGCTTCGGCTAGAAATGTAGCCAGCGCTCACACCGCAGCTGATCACACTGAGGAAAATGAAGCCGTTGATCAGATGGGCAAACCACATAGCGTCAGCCCGTTTCATGGCTATCACGAACGGACTGCCAAGGGTACCACTGGCATTGACTAGATCGTCATCATTGTACGGTACGCACATCCCGACAAGCCAAATATTCAAGACGAAGAATGTAAACATACGCCAAAAGACTGGTCGGATTGTCTTCTTAAGCGTACGGCGCGGATCAGCAGCTTCGCCAGCGATGACGGCAATGTGTTCACCACCGCCGAAGCTGAAAGCCGCCTGGACGAAGGCCTTTGAGATACCTTTCATCCCGTTGGTAAAGGCACCGGGATTCTTCCAATAGGTGAACTCGATAGGGCCGTGTGTTGCTGGGATGCCACCAGAGGTCATGATGAAGAGAAACATAATGACGGCAATGACAGCCAGACATTTGGCGAAGGACATGCAGTACTCAATGTACCCGTAGATACGTACGTGGAAGACATTGGAGACGGCAATGGTGACAAGGAATATCGTGATGTACGCGGCCAGCGGGACGACATCGCTCGCCGGCCAGAATTTCATCACGGATACGGCTGCAGTGATCTCGGCGGGAATGATCATCACCCACTTGACACTAGTCAGCTTGATCGCGCTGTGAATCATTTGCAGTGGTTAGTCTTACCGCGAACCAGAAGTTGATTCCCAGAGCAAAGCCAAAAGCCGGATCGACATACTGAGCACCTTGTCGGATGAAACCTCCATGGACAGGCTTGTAGGTGGTCATTTCGCCGACGGAACAGTATTGAACGTAGACAATAAAGCTGTGATTCCGAATTAGCACCAATATGTACCATGGTCCTCCCACCAAATCGGAATGTATCTTACGCAAAGACGGTGTACACGATGGCAATGCCACCCGGACCGGCTAGTAAGTTGATGTCAGCAAGGTATTCACTGGGTTTTTCGTCGCTATTGCTGGATCCGAATGCTTCCAAAGTTTGCTCTCATGGCTCTCAAACGTACCATACTTCAGCGCCTGTCCCGTACCCACCCAAAGACCAGTTCCGATGCCGCAACCAAAGGTCATCATCATTATTTGTCGCCTGCCCAGAGCCCGATGATATCCAGCTGTCTCGACCAAAGGGGCGGTGACAACAGCGTTCTCGACATCATCAGAGCCGGACTTGGTCTCAGCAGTGGCATGTTTTTCAGTTGCGAAGATCTCCTGAGTTGGAAAAACTCGCGAAGTCGAGTAGGCGCCCTCTTCTGACCTCAAGGAAGACATTTATAGTCTTGTGAAGAGCTTTAGGCTTTGGTATATGTGTAGTTTGAGCTTTAGGCCTGGAGGTGCCGTCAGATTTCGCACGAATGTAGAAGTCGGAAAATCCGAGGTCGAGTAGATAGTGATTGCATACAGACGATGCAGCTTACTCCAAGATTAAATAAATCCAGTGATTCAGCGACCCACGAAGGGGAGGGACAACTTCTCCACAAAGATAACGGGGTTGTCAAGGGACATTGTGAGATCTCGCTGTGTAACTCCATGTCTCAATCAATTTGTGTCCACAAAGCAATATCAATATGAAAGACTTCGGCGGTATATGTACCCGGCGGAGTACGCCGGTCAATCCCGCCGGCAACGAGCATTTCCACCTGAAATGGAGGTTGACAAGCCCGCCGGGACCGGACAACCGCGCGGTCCTGTACCTAGTTCCGTTAAGCTTACAAGTTAGCCCTAACTATTTTGTGGAGGAATCGGCCTAAATTGTATCAATGTTGAGATCGAGTTTGATTGCTTGAAAAGGCTCATAACGGCATATTCTGATGACTCAAGTCTCAATCAAAAAGGAGGAGTTTAGAAGGCCTGACAGAATGTCTTCTCGATCTAAGAACGTTGTGTTTGACGTGGTAGGGACGCTCGTCTCGTACGACGCCGTCGTTAATGCCGTTGAGACACAATTGGGCGAACGTTTGAAGTCTAGAGGAATTCAAACTCGTCTGTTTGTGTGCCTGTGGATGGAAACGACCGAGCGCGAGTACACGTACCTCAGCATGTCGGGAAAATACGTTCCATTTGGCGAGGTGTTCAAGAAGATATTCTGGCGAATGTTATGGATGGGTGGTATCCAAGAGCCTCGCGAGTTTGCTTCGTCGGAAGACCTAGCTACTATTCTTGCTGCACACCAAAAGCTTCAAATGCGACCCGGCGCGGTAGAATGTGTGAAGAAGCTGCGTGATGCCGGCTTTACTGTGTGGGCATTGACTGCCGGCGACTTGAAGCGTGTTGGTGGTTATTTTTCACAGGCGGGTGTTGAAATGCACCCAGACAACTTGATATCCTGCGACTCTACCGGCCTCGGAAAGCCTGACCCAGCAGCATATCGGCCCTTGTTGGACAAGCTAATCAAGGAAAACGATGGAAAGAAGCCATGGTTCGCAGCAGCGCATATGTGGGATGTCTCAGCTGCCAGGAGAACAGGGTAAGTCAACCCAAGATGCTTCACAGCTACACTATTCTAAGCTTTTGAGTCTGACCTCGTTATCGCGGAAACAGTTTTGCAGGTGCATATTGTACAGTGTGGGAAAAAGAACCACTGGTTGATCTGTTTGGTGAAATGGATGTGATCGATAGTACATTACCTGGAATGGCGGACCAAATCATTGCCAGCACGAATTGAGGGGACAGCGTTGACATTGAGGGAATGGAAGACATCTGTATTCAACAAGGTCTTGCCGTTTCCTGATTGGGAGCTGGTCTTGTTGGCACCGGTCGGTGGGGTTGTGTTACATACACCACGAATGCTTGGAAGGACATGAATCGACTTCATAGAGCAGTCAAGAAGCCTACAGAAGATTTCCTTTTGCCCTCGCGGTCTCTCGTTCGGTAGAGCCATTTCTCAGGCGGTGCTTCCGCAATACTCTGTCGCCAAGTTATCTGAAGATTTCCCCGGAGTCTTTCCTATCGCCTTCCGTTAGCAGTCACCATGTGCCAATTACCTTGGCATAGTTTGTGATAGTGAGCCGCGCCCTCGGAATGCTGATAGTCAACATGGAGAAGAGCGGCTGGGTTCATCTCCACCTCCACCGGCTTGAAGACGTGGAAACATCTCTGCCGCCGGGAGCATGCCAGAGCTAGGAGTGTTTCCGTTCTTACTCTTGTGCAGGGCGTGCCAGTGATCACCGGTGGCCCTGTTTGCAGCCTGGGAAGTGGTCAACACAGGTCGTCCAGGCTAAGTCTTCTTCCCTAAATAGGGTCATTCTGTATAGCAAAGCTTCTCTAGAGTGAATCGACAATCGACATGTCAGTTCCTTTGACCAACGGAACGACCTCATTTTGGAGGACTGAGCCGGATGAGCTTGACAGCTTTCGCTCGAGCGAGACGCTCCCAGATTCCTGTGACATCGTCGTTATCGGTGCAGGATATGCTGGTTCATCGGTGGTTCACCATATCCTCCAGGGGTGCAGTGACAAAGCCACGCCGTCAATATTGATCTTGGAAGCACGGCAAGCATGCTCTGGGGCTACTGGACGAAACGGTAACTTATAATCTGCTGCATGAATGATTTCAACAATCAACTCACGCATACAGGTGGTCATATGAAGCCAGATCCATATAACTCCATCAGCAGATTAGCTGCTGAGCATGGCATCGAAGCCGCTCGCGAGGTCGCAGAATTTGAGGCCAGCCATGTGACTACCATCAAGGACGTGGTAGACCGCGAAGGCATCGAATGCGAATATGTTGTCACCAACGCGATAGATGTGCAACTCAACGCCGATCACTGCAAAACCATGAAGGCTAACTACGACCACCTCGTTCACGAAGGCTGCCGACCAACTCAGGATACTGAGTTCGTGGCAAAACCCGGTGCTGAGCAGGTAAGCATACCGCAAGTCCCGTCGAAAGTGTACTGACGTTCCGTGATATAAGCGCTCTGGCGTTATTGGGGCGGAAGGGTGTTTCATCTATCCTGCCGGGCATATGTGGCCCTATAAGTTCGTCTTGCACCTCCTAAGACGGGCTCTGGCCAGCGGTCATGTCACGCTCCATACTCATACTCCCGTTGTGAATGTGGAAAGAAGTACGAAGAGCTACAGCTCCCACTCATGGATTGTCAATACGCCACGTGGACGAGTAGCTGCTCGGAAAGTGGTTTACGCTACGAACGGCTACACACCATCGCTACTGCCCCAGTACAGAGACGCCATAGTCCCAGTCCGAGGGACCTGTAGCCGAATTGTTGTGCCAAAGAACTCCGGCGCTCCCCGGCTCACCAGTACCTACACTATCCGATGGAATACTTGGGACTACGACTATCTGGTACCGCGTGAGGACGGCAGCATTGTCGTGGGAGGAGCACGATCCTCATTTGTGCACCGACTAGGAGATTGGTATAATGTCACTGACGATGGGCAAGTACTGGAATCTGCTGCCAAGTATTTCGACGGTTACATGCAGAGGACATTCAGTGGCTGGGAGGACAGTGGCGCCTACACTGACCGTGTTTGGACTGGCAGTATGTTATTTCCATTTCCTATCTGCGCTTCTTCTTCTTTTGTGTCACTGATTGAAATCATGCTGACAATGATTTTAGTAATGGGATACTCCATGGACGGTTTGCCTCATGTCGGTGCAGTGCCAGGTACTCAGGGCAAATTCATTATGGCTGGATTCACAGGCCACGGGATGCCCCAGATATTTCTATCTGCTGCTGGCTTGGCCCAGATGGTATTGAATGATATCTCATTTGAACAGACCAAATTACCACGATTATTCAAAGCAAGGGCAGAAAGACTATTTCGACGGGAGGAAAACAGACATCTAGATGCCTTGAACCTCACCTCGCGTGAGTCTGAAACTCGAGCACGTCTCTAGTTTATCCATATAAACCCTCTTAGGCATATGCAATAGAATAGAAAAGCATTGTTAGTGGATAAACCTCACGGTGTATATCTGGTCGGTGGTTCTAACTTCTACGGCTGTACTGATGGAACTTTTCCGAGAGCTTCACCATAGCGTCCAGGAGGATACTATCATCAACAGATCGCTTCGTCGTACTCGATACTGTGCCATTGATGCCAAGGGGAGCAAATGCTTGCTTCCACGTCTGGTTGGAGAAGAGCGGGACATCAGGTTCACAGACCGTTCCAGGTGCCGGCAGAGCTCCTGTGTTGAAATATTCTCGGACGAGTTTGGCTGTGCACAGTGAAGGCTGGGCCAAGGTACAATGCTATGAGTGGTCAGCAAAAAGTCTTCCTCAACATGAGCAGAACATACACCATAACCATTCTGTTGAAGCAACGCGCTTCCGCCGAACACTTCGTTGTTGTATTGAGCGGAAACCAAAGGGGTAACAGGATCGTAGCTGTTGCCAATTATGAGGAGAGGACTCTTGGTTTCGGCGTTCCATGGACCTGCATAAACTTCCTTCGCCTTCATTTGCCAAGGTGCGCATGATAAAGTGTTGATAAGGCCGAAATCCAATCCACCCCATTGACTCGTAGCGACCACGGCGTCTTTGTACTCGTTCATGTCCATGATAGATTTAGCTCTGTAAGCAGCGTCTCCGCAACTGATGCCGAGAATAGCGTCTGGTGTGTCCCTGTCATCTGCGCCACCGGATGCCTTTTTCAGTAAACCAACATACCCAGTGTAGTTACCTTGAATCAGCCGAGTGAGAAGTTTTGCCTGGGACCGCCATTTTGCTGGGCTGTACATTGAGGAGAACATTTTGTTTTTCACGTCGGTGTATGTGATAGTGGTGCTGCTTTCGTTAAGCGTGACCACCACCGGGCTGTATCGTAGGGACTCCAGAGCACTATTGACAAGGCCGGCGATGGCTTCAGAGGTGTTGGCCAATTGTGCAAGTTCGCAATTCTGTGGTGCAGAGGCGCATCCATCATAGAAGCCTTGCACAACCCCATCTAGACTTTCCATTGACTGCTTGTTGCTGTACGATAATCAGCTATGGCATAACGGACCAGAACAGGGACGAATTACTCTCCAGACCAGTACTCCTCCACATTCACATTTCCGTCGAGGATGACTTTATCTACCTTTTCCGGAAACATAAGGGAAAAGGTTGCACCCAGAGCAGTTCCATACGAAAATCCTAGGAATCCCATGTTAGAACTAAGCCAATTGTAACAGCAGAACTGCTTACCCCAGTATCGAAGAAGGCCATCTTCTCCAAGAGCATCGACAATGCGTTCCATGTCTCGGGCTACGAATGCCGTTCCCAGCAAGCCTCCGATCTCAGCATTGGTCTCCAGGCACTGCGCCGCAACGACTTGCGATGCCGCAAAATCTGCCCCCAATGCGATGTCGGACGAATTGCCGAGATTTTGTTCCGGAGACAGGAGTAGCCGCTCAATAGCAGAGTTGTTATAACAATCGAAGCGAAGCGTGTACCCAGTACCACTGTTTTCAGGTCAGAATGTCTATTGAAGTCATGCAGCATCAGTCTTCGAAGCGACTTACCGTGGATCAAATCCGATTAGATCGAAATTGCCACCGAGAATACTGCAACCTATGGATCAGACTTTGACTAATACAAGGGGAAACCGAAGCGCACGTTTGGAATTGATCACCACCGTCTATGTTGAAGCTTGCTCCGCCAGATCCTGGGCCTCCTGGGTTAAACAGGATGCTCCCTTTCGCAGGTTGATTGGTGGCATTAACTTTGGTCAAAGTCAGGATGAGAGTTTCCGATGATTGAGGGTCGCTATAGTCCAATGGCACCGTGAAATTGGCACAGCTGAACCCGACATCGGTTTCAAATCCAAGGTAATCACAATCAGAACTCCATTGAATTTGATTGTCTGTGCCATTGGTGTTCAACCCAGCATTGCGGGGTGAAGGCTGAGGTCGAGCAAGGACTTGCTGGGCGATGAACGGCAGGAAAATGATTATGGACAGCATGGCTTCTGCGGGAAAGTATTGGCTCTCTCGACGAGAAAATGGATTGATACTGTTTACGAACTTGGTCTGGGGCTTTATCGAGGAGCTTTAAACTTATATCGTGGCTGCTAAATGCCTATGGCTTCACGATCACATTTTTCCTCCCGGCAAAGCCACGCAAGACTAACGACACAGACGCACGCACTGTAACTCCTTAATCGTCTTTCAATCGAAACAAAGCTCCTTGATGGTAGGAAGTTACGTTGACACTACTCGTTTTACTATCGATTACATATCGACGTAACAGGATTCCGCCAAGGGTCTGGAATGGTGCGCGGACCATCACGTACACCAAAAATATCAACCAGAGGTGAGGTGCTTTGACCTATCATCAGCACAGGCCAAAAGCAGCATGGACATAACAAAATGCGGAACACTATCGATTTAAAATCAGTTTTCGGCAGAACATGTAGCTTGCGAGTGCCGTTGCGAAAGCCACGAACACATGTTCGTGCTACCATCAAGCGCTATATCTACATTGGAACACCGTTCAACAGCACTTTCAAAAGTTTTGAGTCCGAAATCTCGTCCGCACGAGCCGTTAGTTCGTCCACGTCCCAATTAACCCAGACAAATTTTCCTTTGAGGAAGCCGGCTTCCGGGGATGCAAGCCAAAGATGAAATCGAGCGGGAAGCTCGACTGGAACGACGTTAGCTAAACCAGTATTCGCTCTTCTTCCGACGAAGAAGAGGATAAGAACGAATGTTCACTTACCTTCATCTTGGCCCTCAAATCCGCTGCCAGCGTTTAACTCGCTGGTCACGACGCCAGGCTGGACATTGATGATGCGAAGATTGGGGTTTTCGGCCTGGAGGTAATCGAACATCTTGGTGTTTGCTAGCTTGGTGGTAGCATAGAGCCACAGCTGAGGCAACGGATCGATATGCGCAATGCCGGAGGAGATGTTCAAGACTGTGGCATCAGCGGCTAACAGCGGCATCATGGCTTGAATTGTGTTGAACGCGGAACCAGTGTTCATTTCCAGGCCTTTGTGAAAGTCCTCTTCGAGGTACCCGGCCACCGCGCCGACCTTGGGCATGATGCCGGCGTTGCTAATAAAGACGTTGATCTTCGTCGAGTTACCGTCCATGGCCAGCTGGCTAAGCGCACTAGTAAAGGCGGTGTCGACTGCGGCCCGTTTGCTCAAGTCGACGCTCTCGAACACCACGCGGGTGGTGCCTTCCGGGTTGGCTGCGCGAATCTCGTCGGCTGCCGATGTCAGCCGTTCCAGACGTCGCCCAAAAATAGCAATGGCTCTGGCTCCTGCCTGTGCGAAAGCGATGGCTGTGGCCTTGCCTATCCCCGTGCCACCGCCTGTTATGAAGATGACTCTTCCGGCGGCGTTGAGTTCGGGTCGGTCTGGAGAGATCCGGGCGTACGGTTTAATGTGCCAGGTCTTGGTGAATGACTTGAAAAACTCGTTGCCCTGGTAAGGATCAATGTAGACACCCATGGCTTAGGCTTGGGACTTGTCGAGCCGCTCTTGAAATGTGATAATACTGTACTTCCCCGTGACTAATTCTTCGACCTTACACTTCGATGGGTATTTTGCCTTTGCCTATGAAATTTATCTAGCATCGGAGCAGATGTCACACAAGTTATATAATCTCAGGTGCATCTTCACTGAGTGCCCATCTATTTCGTAAGATTGATAATCAGTATACTGAGGTACATAGGGAATAGACACGTTATTCTAGAAATAGGTGTGTAACTGGGCGGCATCAATGCTGCGGTCTGGTGGTAGTTGGCCTCCGCGGATGCTGAAGAGCCTGAAGTAACCTCCGTAAAGTGGACATTAATAAATCCATATTTACAAAGCACGGAGGCGAAAATGGCGCGGCAAAGAGCTCTCTATATCAGATCAGCAATCGTGGCGCACATGGCTAAGCTCGCTTATGATATCTGGACTTTTAAGACTTCTAAGAGATTTAAGCGGATTCAAATCGATAGATTCTCCTTAATAGCTATAGGCTAGAGGTTTCAACACAGGAACTGCCCACGTTTGCTTCCGACATTAAACATACATAACTGCTATATCTCAAACCCAAGCCCATTATAGTGCCATGCGGGATCTAGAAAGTTTGGCTCAGAGTTACGATCGTTAGCTGCCATCATAATGTAATGGCGCTTTTGCTGAGTATTTCGATGTAACTCGGCGCACGTATTATGGAATGAACGTAGATTCGTATAATTGGTCTCGTCGACAATGCTGGCAAGCATCCCTAGAGCAATGTCGACGAGTTGACTGTCCAAAGACGCCATGTCATGCTGAGGATCGTGCATGCTGTTCGCCGTTAGTACCATCATGGCTGTCATGTATGAACACCCTGTGATCCTGCAGACTGTCAGTTGAAATATAATGGCGAGTAGTTATCAAATCAAACAAACACGGGAGAGTTTGGTAAAAGATCGTAATCGCAGTCCGCACTTACCAAAAGTTCCAGCGATCCATGGATCCCAACTGTTCGAATAAGACTAGTAAACGACGACTCTCGTCGACCAATGAGCTCCATCGAGGTGGAAGGAGGGGCACTGTTCCTTCTTTGTCGTATTTCTGCAGACTCGTTATCCACTCGGCGTTCCAAGCGTGTGCTTGATTGATCATAGTCGTGCACATCAGACTGGTGGCGTCCAAAGTGCCGAGGAACCTCAATGCACTAGGAGATAGCCTCTGCAGTGCGTCGACTCCGCGGAATTGCAATGGAATGGAGGTTTTCCACTGTTCAAGAGCTTTTGACACACTGTTCAAAGCGTGCGACCGTTCCTCAAGACTGCGTTTCTGTGAAGCTGTCGAGTATAAGTAATCGTAGACGCCACCCTCAATGACCGCCAAGTGGATGCGAGTGACAAAGTAATCCATCTTGAAGGCACCATCAATGGTGGAGATCATCCCGGTACCGAGGCCATCGTCTCCATCGGTCTGATCACTGTTGAATTGGTCTTTTTGCGTTTGAACCGGGCAAGGCAGGTCAAGGTCGATGTCGTCGTCACGTTGAATGGACGGTTGTTTCGCGCGCAGGCTGATATTCTTATCCAGGATGTATGCTAGCCAGAAAACGCGTGCGCATTGTCCTGCCACTGTGGCGTCCAAGTGTGCGGCAGAGGTGCGATTGTGAAGGCCAATCTTATGGGCAAGACGCATCGTTGTGGAGATCAATATCAGTGCGGGCTTCAGATCCTTTGCTCCTTGCAAAAGCATCACCATGCCCACCAAGACCTGGATATTTAGCAACTTAGTTTCATCCAACACGATTTCCGACAATACGGACTGCGCTCTGACAAGATATTCCATTGCACAATTGATATTGCCGCGGTCAGTGAGCCAGTGCCGGTGCGCGAGGGCTACCACTATGTTTATAGCGGCCCAGGAAACCGGGTCCCGAGATCGTGCGTCGAGGTTGTACGTAGTATGGAGGAGACGGAGGAGAGATTCGGCGTGGAATAGCGGCAGTACAGTATTGAAGTTTTCCAGGAATAAGTGGACCACAGGCAGAATCTGCTGTAGAGGTGGGAGATCCAGCGCCCGTGAAGACCTGGTGCAATCCGTACTTCCTTCCTCGTTTGTCATCATTGGCATCGGCATAGTTACGACGGGCGACGGGGTCGGCGTCGGCTCCTGCAGCTCACGCTGAGCATCGGGGTTCCTCTCATCGCTTTTTGAACGCTCGGAGAACTGTTGAATCTGGGATTCTAGGTGTCGAACACGAGCGTGCAAGTCGGTAGGATTTTCCTCGTTCGGCTTCACGACTTTTCTGCGCTTCGGCCGGGATTTACGGCTTGGGGCCGCATAAGTACAGTCTCTTGCATAAGTGATGCAGTGTGAGCATCGAGGCTTTTGTGTGTCGCATTTGATCTTGCGCATGTAGCAAAAGTCGCATGACTTGATTCGTTTGTCAGACAGTGTTACATGTCACTAGTATGGTAGATCAATATTTGGAGTTGGATTGGTACTCCGTACCTTTCTAGGTATTTTATTTTTTGGCCCTTCCATCATTGCAGGCAGCATCAATCCAGGCAGGTGAAATAGATGTTCACATAAACTGAGCTTGCAGCAATTTTCTGAATGTCACTGTCGCAGACGGTCAATAAAAGGCGTCCTTCTCGGACAGCCTCCGCGGAACCTGTCTCCTGAGTCTGCGAAGCCACTGCTGACAAACACGAATCGACTGGGTTGGAGAGCATAGACCAAGCGTAATGTGATGCATTGATCCAGCGGACAAACGCCCAGGAATTGCGGAGTTCTCCCACAACACGGAGTACTGCTGGTGAATCTGATCATGTTCAGGTAATCTCACACGAGAGCCACAAAGATCAGAGAAAAAGACATACGGTCTAGTAGAGCCTGGTGGAGAGGCTGTTTGATGTATATAGAGATGCAGATGCCCTATCACAGGTCTCCCGCCTCATGAAATGCATGGAATGCGACAGTCTCATTTTGTTTGTGAAAGTTTTGTCCCTCGGGCAACATTGGGTATTGTATCTCGGTTGGCTTCTATTGCACGTCAGCCACTCTCCAGAGTGGTCTCGTAGTTCTCAGAGTGCTGTTATCGCTTCCACTTGTGAATTTTCGTACGTTGCTAGCTTGATATGCGAATGAGCAATCGAGCTTGTCAGGCGCGTAAACGCGATCGTTGCAAGGTGGCTCGTGTGCAACGCCTGCAATGCTGCCATTAGTTAAGCATTGGCTACGCCGGTAACAAGGGCGACAACCGGAGAATCCACTATTCTTCCCCGGAAGGCCGCAGTCACGACGCCTAAAGGCTGCCGTGAGTGACAAACCTGCGGACGAGTAAAGCTTGGCTCTTCGGTTGTTGATCTTCAACTTTTTAGAGGTCGCAAACTACAGTAGTTGGACCAAGAGTGTCCTTTTGTTCGGGCACATTAAGACCAACATCAAGATCAAGATGTTGTACCGCTCTTCTAGATTCAAGCTTCTAGTCATGATGTCTAGACGTACAATTCGGGAGCCTGGACAGCCAATCGATAGCGTGATTATGATCATTCATTGACTTCGGCCCCGAAACTTCTCGGACCCGAGCCTTTTAACCCTCTGAAACTCTAGAATATTGACGCCTGATGTATTGATTCAGGCAGCGTTTGTGAGTTGAACCGACTCAGGCATCCATAATTATATGAAAAAAGGGACCAACCCCCCTTTCTGGCTTTATTCTCTACAACTATTTGGCATCGCCTGTATCTTTGAGACCTTCGTCGGCTAGAGTGTCTCGGTGCGGCGTCAGGCTACCGTCGAAGATAAAGTGCAAGGAAGCCCTTGCATAGGTCATTTCGCTGGTCACTAGCTCAGATTTCTTCTGGCAAAGTGTGCAGACAACAAATCATGGCGCGTCTTCGCGTCCTTATCGTCGGCGCTGGTATCGCTGGGAATGCCCTCGCCTACTGGCTCGCCAAGCAACATCACACTGTGACAGTCATCGAACGGCACCACTGTCTTCGCGTTAATGGCCTGCAACTGGATCTTCGTGGGCACGGTATCGAAGTGATGAGGCTGATGGGTCTAGAGGAAGCTGTGCGTGCCAAATGTGTTCCTGAGGAAGGCATGGGACTCGTGGATACGACAGGCAAGAAGAGGGCATTCTTCCCTGCAAATCGATCGGGGAAGGGTGCGCAGACGATTACAAGCGAGTTTGAAATCATGAGAGGTGACCTATGTCAGCTTTTGGCGGATGCTGCCGAGCTGGAAGGGGCGAAGTACCAGTTTTCGACCGGGATTGAGGGCTACATGGAGAAAGGAAGAAACGTGGAGGTTAAGCTGACGGATGGGTCGATGCTGGAGGTGGACCTTCTCGTTGGATGCGATGGGAGCAGTTCGAAAGTCAGACGATTGATGTCCGGAGGCGGGAATCTTCCACGTGGCGGAGAAGACGCGGCACTCGTCGAACTCCCAGAAAGGATAGCCTACTTCACGATGAAGGAACCCATCCAAGAGGGTGAGAAGTTTGAGGGCTGGGGATGTGCCTTTCCTGGACCTGGAAAACGGGTAATCCTGATCAGACGCCACAAACCAGATCTCGTCCAAGTGTATCTGCTTGCGAATGAGCCACCCGGTTCCAATGGACCTTTAAGCAAAGTGAAGCGAGGAGATGTGAAGGCGGAGAAAGCAGTCTTTGTCGAGTTATTTCGAGATTGTGGCTGGCGTGCCCCTGATGCAGTAAAAGCTCTGGAAACTGCAGCGGAAGACTTCTACTGCCAGCACACCGGCGCGGTCAAATTGAATAGCTGGTCTCGAGGGCACGTCACACTAGTCGGGGATGCTGGGTACGCTTGTCCTCCAGACGGATTCGGCACATCTATGGCAATGGTTGGCGCATACGTTCTCGGTGGAGAAATCAACCGTGCATATCTCAACAAAGGAGAGAATGACAACAGTGCAGAACCCGAAAGCAGAAATATAGTCTCCGATGCCCTGAGGGCATACGAAGATACCTTCGGTCCATGCATGAAGCCAATAGTTAAGGGATATTCAGCTGAGCCTGGAATTTTTGAAAAAATTCCCTGGACGCCCTTCACACTTGGCGTGGCCACCAACGCTTTCAGCATCGCATCATATCTCCGGCTAGATAAGCTAGCTGTGAAATTCATGCCTAATGAGAAAGGGAACTGGAAATTGCCTTCCTATGGTGGATTGGAAAAGGTCTGAGGACATATACACTACTGGCGTTGGAAGAAGAAACTCGCCTCAATTAATTTTTGCTTGCTTGTGTTTCGGGATTGTACAGCAATACTGGCTTCCTGAGCCATTGTCATGGAACACAGGCATTGGCAGTGTTATCACCATGTCCACCATTGAACATCGATCTTAACACGACAAACAACTACACTAATACCGACGAGACCCAAGCAATGACTTTGGATTCCTGAATGATGTATAATACAGCTCTGACTACATCTCTACTCTGTCAGTTATACTGGCAGCAGCACACAGTACGTGGTGCGATCTGGCTATTACAGTGATATTTTCTTGAAACGTCCCTAATCCACTAAGGTGACTGAGAGAAGTCGGCACTTGCGGTATGAAAACCTTCAGGCGCCGACAATCGCAGGTATCGTTGTAACATATAGTCTGCCGCTACCCTATGCAGCAGCGACGGCAGCTACACCAAAAAGTTTCTCCTGCTTCATACACAGTGCCGCGAGGAACATGACGCCCCCCGCAATGGGGATCAGCACGAACACTTTCTGCATCGCATTTACCAGTGCCATGATGACCTCCTCGCGCAACGCTCCATGCACTTGCTCCAGTACCTTGCTCTGAACGCCTGTAACAGCGCTCTCAATATCTTGGCTCGAGAAGTTTTGTTCTGATAGCACAGATCGTAGATTTCTTACTGCCGTCGAGTGGAAGATCTGACCGGCGACTGCCAGTGCGATGACCTGGCCTCCAAGTTGAGACACGTTCTGCATACTTAGTGCTGCCCCGGCGTTCTCCGATTTCGTCGTAAGCGAAGCGATTGAATATCCAGTCAACATAGCCAGGCCACTGCCGATGGCCGTGATCACACACAGACCGTAAATGGTTCCGGTTGACGTTTCCGGGCGGAGGTAGACTGTAAGGAGGGCACCTCCGATCGTCAAGAAGACACCGCCAATGATGTAGATCAACATGTACACTTTGATGGCGCTGAGAAAATACCCCGATGCAAGGTTTGTCGAAATAGCTACAATAACGAAAGGCAACAACCGAACAGCCGCCTTTAAAGGGCTGTCGCCGGCTGTGAACTGGAAATAGACCGGAATAAAATACATTGCAACATATAGTGTCGTGATTCCGGCTGCCGTCTCGATGTAAAGGAGCACCTGGGTGCGTTCGCGGAGTAAATGGACGGGAAACGCGCGGTAAGTCTTGGTCGTGAAAAGCGCAAAATGCTGCTGGAGAACATATGCAACCAAAGTGACTCCAAAAGCCACAAAGGTGGCAATATTCCGTCCGTCGTCCCAACCCCACTGCCCTCCTGCCATTGACAGTGCCAGGAGGAAAGCAATCCAGACACCAGCACCAAGGACGAAGCCAACAAAGTCCAGACGGGCGATTCTGGCCCGTACACTGACGCCGTGAGAAGGATGAACCGGGGGCAGGCAGAAGATGTAAGCGGGCGCAGAGACGCCGAAGATGACAAGATTGATGTAGAAAGCCCAGCGCCAGGTTGCCGAGGAGGAAGCGAATGCTCCGCCAACAACAGGACCAAGGATGGCACCAATGCCCCAACAACTCCCGATAAGTGCCATGTAAAAGCTGCGTTCTTCTGCCGTCGTCATGGCCAGGAAGTAATTCAAGGAGCCAAGGTAGATTCCGCTGCCTCCGACGCCGGCGATGACACGACCAACAATCAAAATGCTCATGGTTGGAGCGGCTCCACACAGAGCAGAGCCGATTTCGAAAAGGACTACCGTTGCGAAGAAGACCCATTTGATGTTGAAACTATTGTACAGATTTCCGAGGGGGAGAATAACGCACACGGAGCCAAGGGGAAATCCCGCTCCCACCCATGCAAGTTGCTCGGCATGGCCGAACTGCTCGACCACAGAACCCTGCACATCTGCAGCAATAGTGGTATCAAGGCCGTAGAGGATGCAGCTGATGTAGAGAGCAATACAGATGACTAGCCAACGAATACCGTGGATTTGGCGACCTTTGATCTTCTGCTCGGGCTCGACATTGCTCTCGTTTGCGGAGGCCGCAGTGTCCTTGTTTCCACTTTCTTCAAGGCTTTTCTCGTCATTTTCGCTTTTCATATTGAGACGCCGACTGCTGTTTTCTTGCACCTTTGCAGATTGAGAGGACATGATGCTATCCGTGGTGAGCACCGATAATCAATAAGAAGGCAATGCATCTTCGCTGAATGGTCTTATATCCCACCAGAACAAAACTGAGCATTGGCAAAAAGGAGTTCTTTAGCGATTCGGAAATTTCACATCATAGTACGTATGTAAATTGTCATCCGATACGTAAGCTTGATCGGAGCCTCATCGCCATCGGAGGAACATACGGAACACATGGAAGCTGAAGGCTGGAGAACGTATTGGTCAATGCCGATGGGAAGGTCAATTTAACCGTAGGATGAACAGTCTCCGAGTAGCCTCCGCGGAAGGCATACGCACGATGATGGACCATATACCAATGACAAGTGGATTTTCAGCCTTGGTGTTTGTCAGCAACCGATAGCATTACATCTCCATACTTCGTAGTACATACTGGGCAATTCGGATCTGGATACCTTGCTCGAACAATAGTCTCTCGCAATTGTTATAGCTCGTGGAGTATGAGAAGGCAAAATTATATTCGTTCATCATAGCAGCACTATTACTCCTAACTCTATTGATGTTGAATTTCTACTACCCGGTAAAGGTTTAAATACAGTTTGCTCCATTTGATCGGCCTAAGACTGGCACTGAGAATAATAATCATCCACGTACTTACAGCTCCATCCATCCTGACAGCAAGTCGCGCCGCTCCAGTTAACGCCACCGCACTGTGCGTAGTTGGTGGCGCAAGCACTGTAGGCCGTAGTTGTTGTTGCTGGTTGAAGGCATTGATAATAATAATCATTACCGTATTGACATGTCCACCCGTACTGACAACAGGTAGGGCCATTCCAGCCGATACCTCCGCACTGTCCCCATTTTGTTGCACAAGCACCTTGGCTAGACGTAGTGCTCGATGTAGTGGTGCTCAGTGTTGTAGTGCTCAACGTAGTGGTAATCAGTGTTGTACTGCTAGATGTCGTGCTGCCCTGCGTGGTGCTCGTGGTGGATGTGGGCGACAAAGTGGACGTAGTTGAAGGCGGCAATGCTGTTGATGTTGTCGATACTGTCGAAGCTGTCGAAGCTGTCGATGTGCTTGACGTGCTTGACGTGCTTGACGTGCTTGATGTGCTTGATGTGCTCGACGTACTGGATGCGCTCGATGTGCTCGACGTACTGGATGCGCTCGATGTGCTCGAAGTACTGGATGCGCTCGATGTGCTCGATGTGCTCGAAGTACTGGATGCGCTCGATGTGCTCGATGTGCTCGA